AACTTAGATAAAGACCAAGTATCATTCACCTTTGTGAGTCTTGCAATCTATCTCCACTTATGTAGTCTCATCATGCTGCTTGCATTGAGCATGGTTAGTTATGTTGACGATGTCGAATCAACTTTGTCGTCATCAGTACACATGTTTTTCCAAACTCATTTATGATCTATAAAAAACCAAATGTCTGATAAAGATGCAAACTTAAGACTTCTTGATCAGATCACATTCTCTACGAGCTATAAAATAGTATTTTAGTGGCTTTGAAATAAACGTGTTAGGATAGCTATAAATATCATGGCCATCCAACCGATGCAGCAGGACGTCCGGTTCGCGGGTTTTACCGGTCCGACTATTCGGTCCGGTTCGAGTTTAATAACTACGATCCCTTTTCTCCGCGTCAGGAGACGGTAGGGCTTTTCATCTCAGCACGTCGTCCCTTCCGTCCCTGGACGCCGTCGCCGCTCCCACAACCCAACCATCCGACCCTCGTTGAGGTCTCCTCCTCCTCCTTTTCTTGTTGCCGGCACCGCCAACTCCGACGGACGTCATCGTCTTATTTCCTTCGCTCTTCTTTTGTGCTGTGGTCTTCTTGGGAGAGGCAGAGAGCAAGGAGCCGGAGGATGGCGCTGAGGCGGGCGCTGGGATGGTCGGATGGGGAACTGATGCGGTCGGACGCGAAGCCGTGCACCCGCCTGATGCGCCAAACCGCCGGCATCTTCAGCGTCGGTGGGGCCCTTGCTTTCTGGGTCCTCTGTCGCCTCCACTATGGTACCATCTCTTTATATCCTCTTGTTCATCAACCTAGTGCATTTCCTAACCTAACTTGTCCGTTAAGTCAGCGGTGGGGGTAGTGCCGGTGGTTGTGAAAGGGAGAAGAGGGGAAGGGGGGAAGAGGGAGGGGTACGTGTGCCATTCGTTGGCTGTTGGGAAGGGCGGAAGAGGTTTCACAGGGCATGTCGATTGCTGGTAAAGGGAGAAAGGTGGCCACTGATCATTGACAGGGAGGAGAGTCGGCGGCGAGGGGCTGGGAAGCTAGGGTTTGTGCAGGGGAAGTAGGGGGTGGGTTTGGAGGAAGTTAAGTTATCTTGGTTGAATCGAATCAGTAAATTTGGGTTCAACTCAATTTCAATCAGATTGATTTGGACTGGGCACCCCTAAGCAGCGCCCAGTTGAATTCGCTTGCCCGAACAATTTAGAGGTGTTTGTGCCTTGCCTTGCCTCGCCTTTACCGGGACCCAGGTGTGAATGCGCTTGCCCAACAATTGAGAGGCGCTCAGGCCTTGCATTGCTTCGCCTCGCCTGAGCATGAATTTGCATGTTTGAACAATTTAGAGGCACTCACGCTTTATCTCGCCTGGGCATGAATTTGCATGTTCAAACAATTTAGACGCTTTTGGCCCTTGCCTCGCCTGGGCATGAATTTGTATGTTTGAACAATTTAGAGGCACTCGGGCGTTGTTACGCCTCACCTTCACTGGGTGTGAATTTGCCTAGTTAAACAAGTTAGAGGTGCTCGGGCCTCGTCTCACTTCACCTCACCTAGGTGTGAATTTGCTTGCTCGAACAATTTAGAGGTGCTTGGACCTTGCCTCGCCTTGCTCGAGTGTGAATTTGCCATTGCCCAGGTGTTAATTCACCCTTCCTTATAAAAAAAATTGTATGGTCCAGAAATATAATAAATAGAAGAATACAATCATATAAATGAATGTAAAATAATCTTTGGAAATAAGTAAATAAAATTTCATGTTGGTTTCGAGAGAAGGGGAGAGGAAATGAGGGTTAGGGTTTCCATTATATGATTGACAATCTTATGACTTAGAGAACGTTATAATATATCATATGAAATTCAAAGAATTTCATTAGTATCCCACAAATGCGGAAATGTTAATGCTAACCTAAGATAGCATCGACATTTAAGCCTTTGTAATGCAGTATTCCGGCCAAATGCAATTTGAAAAAAAATTGTCAACAATTCATATTTAAAATTTAAAATGTGCATTGGACCATCAATCCACATACCAAATGTGTTCTCAAACACACCTTTAGATACGCTTGGACCTTGCCTCTGTCATCTCACTCGGTTGCCTATGCAAGCCCTCGAGGCTTCCCTGACTTATTTGCTCATATCACGTTAAAAATGCACCAAAACTTGTTTATAACATACTGTTATTAGATCCTTGTGTCTAAACTCTTACATTTACTAAAGCATGTTTCTTTTATTCCAATAGAAGGACAAGAGCTGAAGAAGGTTCTATATTTCATTTTTTTCTTCCTGAGATAGTACATATTATTATAAACCATTTTTTTCCTGTCAGAATTGGTTCTCACTTTCATCATCAAAATGTTTTGTCTAAATTGTTTTCAACATGAGAAATAATTACAGTAGTGCTGATGCAGGTCCGAGGATAACAAACCCACGGAGTCTACGTTGGGCTTCATGCGGAGCAATATCAGTAAGCTCCACTTCCGCTTTACTTGTCCGCCTTTTTAGTCCGGAATGTGAGCCTCAAAATATAGCTGCTTTTGACAAGCCCAAATGAGTATCTGCCATCTCTTTGATATCTGTACTGTTTATGTGCTTGAGGAAACTTGTTATGGTTTTTTTTTAGGCCATTGTGGATGAGGTCAACAGTTACTCTTTAAACATGTCTTCTTGTCACAAGGCCATGCTATATTAACTTATTTACTTTCTGATTGAATTCAGTCAATTCTGATTACAAGCTTTTATTTTAAATATTTAAATAAATGCTTTATAATTTGCTGAACTCCTCTAGAGTTTTTCATGTTATCGTGTGAGCTTGGTCTGCAGATTTGATGCTCAAACTGCTAACAGGAAAATATTTTTGGGATGCAACCCGAGGCTCACATCAAGCGACTGACTTGAAATATAACTAAAGAACTAAGAAAAAGACTATGTGCATGTCGCATACTACCGTTCTTTGATAAGCAGTTGACTAATTTAATATTTTAAATTTATATTAAAATTTTGATAGTGAAGAAAGTAAAATATTTAATATTATTTATTCTAACATCGTTGGTTTTACCGACGGAAGATATAATATGTGTAGGAATGATACGAAAATGATGGATAAAAAAATAAATTTAATATTCTAGTTATATATTTTTTGTTATATCATAATTAAAATTTCTTAGTTGATTGTTATGGTGGTAGCGAACAATGGCGTTGTCGAGGGTCACAGGTGATTGTTGTGATGGTGGTCGATTAAAATGATACGATAATCAACTTTGTCGATATTAATTTGAATATCGACGATCGAGGAGGGTCGAGGGTTGTGATAGTGATGATAATTTAATGATAGTGTTGGTGGATCTTAAGGATGTCCTTGAAGACGGGTGGGGTGACATCTTGGAGGTGGAGTTTTAGGGATTTTTATGACTTCTTGCAGGGGGAGGAGGAAGAGGTAGAAGAGTGGCGACGATATGTGAGGCAAAGGGAGAGGAAGAAGATAATAATGACGATGGTCGCTTTGCTTCGTATTGCATATGCATTGATATCGCTATGTGTTTACGTCAATGTGGGAGGTGAGGTAATGGGAGAGTAGGAAGAGGACGAGGCGATGGCGGTGCTATTGTAGATGCAAAGCAATGTTGACGTAGATGCAGGATGATGTAGCACGACCATCATCCTTGTTCTCTTCCTTTTTCTTCTTTTGTCTCATCTTCCGTCGTCACACTCTCTCTCTTCTTCCTTCTCCCCCCACAAGAAGTCGTAGAAGTCACTCAAGCTTGACCTCTAGGACTCCATTTTGCCCATCTCCAAGGACATTCTTGAGATCCACACCATCAACCTGTCATCACTACCATGGTCGTTGCCTTTACTTGGATCGTCGATATTCAGATTGACATCGATATGGTTGACCATCGCATCGTTTTCGTCGATCACTATCATAACTATCACTTGCAGCCCTTTATGGCATCATCGTCTGCCACCATCATAACAATGATGTTTTAATTTAGATATAATAAAAAAATATAGTTAAAATATTAAAATATTTTTTTATTAATTGTTTTCGTACTATTTCTATGTCAGTATATTCCGTCGATAAAATCGACAACTTTAGAGTAAATTAAGTTAAATATTTTTTTATATTTATAAAAATTTTAATATAATTTTTTTTAAAATTAAAACATAAAAAAAAATTAATTACTGATAATATGTAAGTACCGTGGTTCAGTACGTATATCTCTGTGTATCTCCTATTCTCTTCATCAGCTATTATTAAATATCTCAACATCTTGCCTGATCTCACTACCATCGGTACCAACACGGACATTGCGAGCGAAGTGCTCGACAAAATGCCCGTCAGCCACTCAAACCGAAAGCTTTTGATCATCGGGAGCCGTGTTGTCCTACTCTTTCAATTAATTTTATTTTACTAACTTAGTAACAACCATATGACATCATAATTAATTTTCCTCTTTGTGGTATTATTATATTAGGTAAAATTATGTATATCCCTTCAAAAAGTTGTTGATTTTGATATTTATCTTTTTTGACTTTAATCTTAGCATCTATAGATATACCTTGAAGTACTTAGTTATGTGTATCATTATAGTTAATTCTTTTAGTTATTATAAGTGAATTATATGTTGAAACTCTAATTCGTATTAATACTCACGAAACTATTACGATGTAAAAAATATTAGGGTTATTCCAGGTATTATAGACATATATTTTTAATTCAAATAGTTTAATTTTTTATCATTGTTAGAGATGACCATCAACCTGAGTCTTTTGTATGACTATTAATGATAGTGGTATGCATATACAGAGTTCTTAGTACTTGAAGGACTAATGCTGTTTTTAAAGTTGTTAAGATTATATATAGAGTGATTTTATGAAAAAAAAAAAAACATTTTTTTTCGTTTTTTAATATATTATCCTTAATTTTTATAATCCCGAAAATATCGTTCACTTCCCTTCTCTTCCCTTCCCCTCCCCGCGGGTCGCCTCCGTTTCGTCGCGCCCGCCGCCTCCGCCTTCACCACGAGGCCTCTGCCGCGCCGCCTCCATCGCGAGGCCTCCGCCCCATGGAGTAGAATTAGGGCGAAGGCGGCGGGCGCGAAGGGTGGGGAAAGGCGAAGGTGACGGGTACGACGGGCAGGGAAGGGGCGAAGGCGGCGAGGTGGAGGCGTCCTCTCCGCCCCACGGAGCAGAGAAAGGGCGGAGTCGCCGGGGGAGCGAAGGCGGCGAATAATTTCGGGATGGAAAAAACGAAAACAAGGGCACTATCGGAAAAGAAAAGAAAAGAAAGGGGAGCTTTTCCGTAAAAATCGCCCTTATGTCAGAAGTCCCGTGACCGCTCCTCTGCCCCTTAGCCGCTCAAACCCTAAGCGTGGCCCTTTTTTTTGTTGATCAGATCTCCTCCTCGGCGCCATTCCCATGGGTACCCACCACCGCGACGACTGCGCCGAAAACGGTGGCGACGACAACGGCCATCTGGCGAAGCGGCTGCGGCCGGCATCTTGCCCCATCTCCGCTGCCGAGATCGCGGAGGAGTTCGCCCACCACGACCCCTCCGTCGCCCGCATCAACAACGGCAGCTTCGGCAGCTGTCCGGCATCGGTCCTAGCTGCCCAGCTCCGGTGGCAGCGGCTCTTCCTCCGCCAGCCCGACGAGTTCTACTTCCACCGCCTCCAGCCTGCACTTCTCCACTCCCGCATCCTCGTCAAGGAGCTCATCAACGCCGCTGACCTCGACGAGGTATCCCTCGTCGACAACGCGACCACCGCCGCCGCCATCGTCCTCCAGCACGCCTCCTGGGCCTTCTCCGAGGGCGGCTTCCGCAAGGGCGACGCCGTCGTCATGCTCCACTACGCCTACGGCGCCGTCAAGAAGTCCATCCACGCCTACGTCGCCCGCGCCGGTGGCCACATCATCGAGGTGCCCCTCCCCTTCCCCGTCTCCTCCAACGAGGAAATCGTCCTGGAGTTCCGAAAGGCCCTGGAGCTCGGGAAGGCCAACGGCCGAAGAGTCCGCCTCGCCGTGATCGACCACGTCACGTCCATGCCCAGCGTCGTGATCCCCGTCAAGGAGCTCACGAGGATCTGCCGCGAGGAGGGCGTCGATCAGGTGTTCGTCGACGCTGCCCACGCCATTGGTAGTGTCGAGGTCGACGTGCAGGACATCGGGGCCGATTTCTACACGAGCAATCTCCACAAGTGGTTCTTTTGCCCCCCGTCCGTGGCGTTCCTATACACCAAGAAGTGTTCCGCCTCCTCCCGTTTGCACCACCCCGTGGTCTCCCATGAGTACGGCAATGGCCTCCCTTTGGAGAGCGCATGGATCGGCACCAGGGACTACAGTGCTCAGCTTGTGGTGCCCTCAGTGATGGATTTCATCGGTAGGTTTGAGGGTGGAATCGAAGGGATCAGGAAGAGGAACCACGAGAAGGTGGTGGAGATGGGAAAGATGCTGGCTGATGCATGGGGGACGTTTCTTGGATCTCCCCCGGAGATGTGCTGCAGCATGATCATGGTCGGTTTGCCTGGATGTTTGGGGATTTTGAGCGAGAAGGATGCATTGAAAGTAAGGAGCTTGTTAAGAAAAGAATTCAAGGTCGAAGTTCCGATTCACTATCAGCTGCCCAAGGATGGTGAGGTCGTCGAAAAGGACGGGAGCAGTACTGTCACTGGGTACGTAAGGATTTCTCATCAGGTGTACAATATGGAAGGTGACTACCATAAACTTAGAGATGCGGTCCACAAGCTGGTAAATGATGGATTTAACTGCACAATGTTTCCATCCTAATGAGAAGGTGCGGTGACTCCTATCGCGTTAACTTCAAGTTAATTGATAATAAATTATGTGGCATGCATTGCACTTTAAAGATTTGGTCTATGATTGCCTAAAACCATGAGATATCTTCTAGCTTTGTTTGAATTATCTAATGTCAAAGGAAAATGCTTTGCATGTGAAACTTGATAGTTGTGACATAAGCCGGAATGCAATGACTAAATTGCCAAAATCCCTATAGATTGGCATTGAACTCAGGTTCAGTTGACGTAACTTATGTATCAAAAATAATAATCAAACCTTTTTTTTTTGGACTATTTTTTTAGTTTGGTTTTTCTTTTGGAAGTTTCTGTGCAATCCATGAATATTTCCTAAGAAGTAAAAGAAAAAGAAGATGGGGAATAATGTGTGTGATTGGGGATCTTGTCGAAGGATGAATTTCAATGCTAATCAATAATGAAAAATGGAATATTATATATGCTAAATAAACTTGAAAGTAGATCTTCAAAGAAAAGATGGGTCATTGATATCCTTTACTTGAGATTTTCGTAAATATATATTACTCTTTGCAGTTTTTGTCTTCTGCTTGGGAAATTTATTTAAAGGGAAGAGATTTTGTAACCAAGGCCAAAGTTGAACGAATGAAAATTCATCTTTTTTTACATTATGTATAAACAGTGTCGGGTCATTTTTCTTCCCTTGGTGTAAGTTTAAAGGATGAAAAAGGTGGAGGGTTGCGTTAGGTCACTAACAACCAACGTAAAACTATATTAGATTTCATGAACATGGATCTGAATTGATTTCAGTATAAAGCTAGGTTATCACTTGGAAGTGATGTGAGGCACCTTCACGAGATAGGTGTCCTAAATTGCAAACTATAGGCTAGGAGGTTGTCGGAAGCAGCCCATCACATCGACACCTAGAAGTGTTACCAAGTAGGCAAGGGTTCTATCATTGTTATTAACCAATGGGAGTAAAGAAGTTAGTCCAAGAACATAGGGTTAAGTGGGTAGGAAAAAATCTAGAGAGATTGATAGTACTAGATTTAAAATTTGGTGTACTAAAAAAGTTAAATATAGAAATCGTATATGAATTGTTGTTGATAAGGATCGTAAGAACAATTTTGCATATGTAAAAAGATTTGAAGATAGAATTATAGTTCTAAGATTTGTGAAAGGATAATATGTTTTGAATATCATTATTGCTTATGCCCCACATGTCAGATTGGATGATCATGGATAATGCTCTTGATTTACCTAAAGATAATGTTTTGAATATCGATCGGGTCAGTGCGTACCAATTGGTATTTGTTGGTTCATTCAAGTTTTGGTATCAAAACTTATAGATTGATATCTATAGATATCGATTTATTTGTATTATTTTATTCATAAAAAAAACACTACTATGTTATAGTATTATGTTCCATTATGCCTAACAAAAGTTTGGTGAATCAACACAGGTTGATGGTATTAGGCATTTACGGTAGAAAATAAAAGAAGAAAAAAATAATAGAAATAATTATTAGGATTGGATGGTAAAATTTTAAAGACGATAATGGAAACACTTTTAATAATAAGATAAAAAGGGAGATGACTTAGAACGATATGGATAATATTAAATATTATTTGGACTACGATGACCAATAAAATTATGAGCTTAACAAAAGGGATTCTTGATAAAACTAGAGGTAGAGGTGTAACTTTAAGAGAGAGTTGGTGGTAGTGTGAGGAAGTTTAAAAATGATTTTTACTAAAAGATTATGTTTTAAAGATTGATAAAATTATAAAAATGAGAAAAAAAATTAAGAGATATAAAGAATCTAAAAAAGAGGCTAAAACAGAGGTTAGTATGACAACATATAAAGCTTATGATATTTTTATAATAAATTAGTATTAAAGATGGTGAAAAAGATAAATATCGAATTACTAAAGTTAGGGAAAGAAAGTGTAAGGATTTAGGTAATATTAGATACATTAAATATGAAGGTCAAATAATACTTATTAATGATAACAAGATTAAGGAAAGATGAAAAATTAGTTTTATAAATTATTTAATGAATATTCCACACATGACTTAGATTTAACGATAAACAATAGTGGTGGGTTTAATAATCATTGATTTATTTGTAAAATTAGTGGTAAAAGACGCATTAAAGAAGATGAAAATAGTTAAGATTGTGAGGCTTGATGGTTTCCCTATTGAGGTTTGGAAAAGTTTAGTGACAAGGGAGCTGCTTGGTTAACTAGCTTATTTAACAAAATCATAAGAATCAGAATGATGTGTAATGAATGGAAAAAGAGTTTTGTAGTGTCAATTTACAAAAGTAAGGGTGACATAAAAAATTGTTCAAATTATAGAGGAATTAAAATCATTAGCTATACTATGAAACTTTGGGAAAGAGGTATTAAAAGTATGATAAGACTTGAAACAAATATCTCTTAAAATCAATTTGGTTTTATGTATGAAAGATTAACCATAGATGTTATTTATTTATTAAGACAATTAATGAAAAAGTATAGGGAGAAAAAGAAAGATTTGTATATGGTTTTTTTTACCTTAGAATAAGGCCTATGATAGGGTTTATAGAGATTTATTATGGTGGGTTTTAGAAAAAAAAATAGGTGTATCTACTGATTATATTGATGTTATTAAAAATATCTATAATAATGTAGCTACTAGTGTTAGAACTATATGGAGTGTGTCTAATGAATTTCCTAGTAACATAGGATTACGGGCTAATCACAGATTACCCTCTATCGTTAGCTACCTTTAGCATCCTATTCCCTATACTTTAAAAAGTTACATTGACATCCCTATAGTTACAAAAGTGAAATATCTAGGTCTATTTATTCTAACACCATCAATTTTACCAACAAAAACATGAAAATAAAGGGCAAAAAGATAATTTTAGCGCTCGAATTGGTGGTGGCGGACAATGACGTCACTAGGGGCTGCAGGTAATTGTTGTGGATGAGGAGAGCGGTGACGAGATGTGAGGGTTGCTTTGCATCTACGTCGATGCCGGCGCAAATGCAGAGCGACATTGCTCAGCAATTGCGTCGACATCAACGCAGATGGAAAGTGGCCCTCACTTCTCGTCGTTGCTCTCCTTATCTACAACAGCCACCTGCGGCCCTCGATAGCATCGTCGTTCGCAACCACCGACTCTATCCGTCACCACAAATTGAAACATCAAGATTACGCTTTTGCCCTTTTGTGTTTTTGTTGGTAAAATCAACCGCGTTAGGATAAATAGACTTAGATGTTTCACTTTCGTAACTATAGGGATATCAATGTAAGTTTTTAAAATGTAGGGACTGAAATGCTAAAGGTAACTAACTACATGGGGTAATTAGTCCTAGGATTACACCAAGGATCCGCATTAAGTCTGTACTTTTTCACATTGATAATGGATGAACTCATTAGTCACTTACATGATAAACCTCCTTGGTGTATGTTATTTACTGATGATATTGTCTTAGTTGATGGGAGTCTAAGTGAAATTAATTATAATATTGAGCTATGAAGTCAAGCCTTAGAAACTTAATGTTTTAGATTAAGTAGGACTAAAATTGAATATATAAAATATAATTTTAGTGATTATAGAAATAGATAAGCGAATATACTTAAATTAGATGGATAATAAATCTCCTTAAGTAAAAGCTTTTGGTATCTTTGATCAATTATTTAACAAGATGGAGAGATCGATGAAGATATTATTCATAGAATAAAAACAGGATGGTTAAAATAGTGAAGGATGTTAGGAATCTTGTATGATTATCGGATACCTTTGAGATAAAAAAAAATTATAAGATAGTTGTGTAGACCAACAATGTTTTATGGATTTGAGCATTGGACAGTTAAGAAAAAACATATACAAAAAGTTTGTGTTGCTGAGATGAGAATATTGAGATGGATGTGTAGAGGTAGTAAGAAAGATAAAAAAAAGATATTTTTATTCGAAACCAATTAGGTATCGCTCTAATAGAGTATAAGATGAGAGAAAATTATTCAAGATGGTATGAGCATGTGTTGAGGAAGCCTTCGGATATTACAATCAGAAGAGGTAAAATAATTAATGTTAGTGGTACAAGAAGAAGTAGAAATAAAAATAACTGGGACTTACGGCTTAGTTGTTGTTGTTCTAGCGTAAGCTTGAAGGATTTGGAATAAAATTGGAAATTGTGATCAAAGCTACGAGTCTCTTTCATTCTTTCTTTGGTTGATTCTTTCTTTGGTTGGTTGCAGATTTTTTTTACAATTATTGAAAACCATCCTTATGCATACCATAAGCTAATTTTTCATTTTTATTCACTCATTGAGATGTTAAAGATAATGAATCATTTTTCCACCTTTAAGTTTCTTCCTTGATCTACCACTTGCTATAGCTGACATTCTTTATTAATCTGAAATAGACCGAGTCCTCTATTCGGTGGTGAACCATAGACGTAGTATGTTATATGTTGCACCTTTCCATGATTAGCTCCTAAATGACTTGATACCTTTGGTAACTTCCATACAAACTAATTGTTCATGTCTCACTTGTCCAGTTAATATTACTCCCACCTTAATTATAACTTGTTACTTGAGAAACTTGTAGGGTCAATTTTTCAATTTTATGATAGACACCTATTTTATTTTATTTTATTTTTGTAACTAGGGAGTCTATTAGGTAACTTTGGTTGCTTGCAAATAAACTGTCTACAGGTCATTTTGGAACAAATAGCTTATTTGCAGATTTGCAAGTTAGTCACTTGCAACATGTGTACATGTAACTTGACCCCTGCATGTTGCAGCAGGATTACAGTTTGTAGTGCACTCCCATGCTGTGGGTTGCAGCAAAGTAGAATTTGGATTCAGGTATCCTTTCGATCCTCCTTTTTAAGTTTGGTTGCATAATTGTCACGTTCTCTGTGTTAGTTGAAACTGCAAGTAGCGACTACACATGCAGACATCTAAATTCAACGTGCAGACACATGCGTAGTCAAATAAGTCAACGACAAGGTGCCCTAGAGAAGGATTTAATGTGTCTATAGAGAAGCTTCTTTCAGAGAAAGTTAAAAGAGTTGATATGGTCCATTTGGTTCTTATAATTAATATCAATCAAATTAAACACTACTACTGCATCACAATGGCAAGAGTGTTCTAGAAAAGACTCTTCTTTTAAATTATTTTTTAAAAAATAAAATATATTTTTATTACATTAAATGATATATGTATCATGAATATGAGATATACTACTTTGAAACCAACTGGAAAACCAATACTGAAGTCACATATCCACAAAATGTTCAGAAGCTCTTTCATTCAACTGTTGAAATGCTAAAAAATCCATAGGTCTTTTCCTTTTCTTCAACATAATCATAGGATGGGATTGTGTTATTTCTATAAGCCTCTAGTGAGTCAGAGATAGAATTACAAAAGATCTGAAGTCGGTTTTGTTGCCATGTCTGTCTGAGTATTACAAGAGACGAACACGATCAAGAGCTGAGTCGTCAGCCAAACAGATTATGTTACCAAATACCCAACTCCTACAAGCTTAATAACCAGGAAAAAGAATGGAATAGTGATTCACCGTTCCCAAGAACGGACTTAGAAGAGTATCAATCAATCTGAGCAGTAGTAGTAGTAGAGGTAATTGCTACATGCCAGTCAGAAGACTTACGAAGAAGCTCATGGCTAAGAGCAGCAGGAGCTCTTCTGGTTGACAGGTTGTCCACGTATTTGCACTGTTGGTGGTCTGGAACTGTTCATGGCTGGTTGGCTGGCCATCCTGCATCATCGTATATTCTCTTACTACTTAAGACAACCTACTAAAAAAAATATGGAATATCGTTTCCGAGACTCGACATATAGAGTTGTGATACCTGTCCTTGATGGAAGCAGTCATGGCCATGAATGCCTGCTCCACATTAGTAGCATTCTTAGCACTGGTTTCCATGAAAGGGATACCAATTTCATCAGCAAAAGCCTGTATGATAGGGGAAAAAAACATCAGCAATCCATGTATCTAACATTTGTCGGTCATCGGCAAAAGCTACGTGATAATAAATCACTTAGATACATTTAAGGGGTGTTGAGGGCTGCACTTTATATTTACTGGTCAAACCATAATCTCACATTTCTTGGTCGGTCATACTAAAATATCAGTCTATTATATAACATAAGATCTTTCAGCAAACACACAAGTTCATATAAAGCCCAAACCTAGAATCTTTTTCATAGGCATGCTAGTGGCAACCATAGCTATTGAGAATGCCAGTGATCTTTGGTTCTAGAGTTCTGGAAACTGATTTCTGAGGACTTTACATGAGAAAGGCTAATGATAGTTCCAAATTACCTTGGCTGTCTCGTATGACACAACTTTGTTCGCGGTAAGATCGCACTTGTTCCCCACCAAAAGTTTATTCACGCTGTCACTCGCATATCGATCAATCTCATTTAACCACTGCTTTACGTTGTTAAAACTCTCCTGATCTGTCACGTCATATACCACCTGCAACTCAAGGTGCAGATAATGAGCAGCCGCTTCAGTACACATGCAAATAACTAATAATTTATATTGATAATTAGATCAAGAAATGGGCTTTGAATTGACATAATAGAACAGCATAAATCTGGTTTGGATTCACAAAGTGAGGACTTCACACAATGATACAGTTGGTTTAAAGTCGAGAAAGCAATGACTAGGCTTACAATGATACCATGGGCACCACGGTAATAGCTGCTCGTGATTGTTCTGAAACGCTCTTGCCCGGCAGTATCCCACTGCAACCACAAGAAAAAATGTCTCAACAAGGAAAAACTTAGAAAATTGTTACCTCAAAGGCTAATTACGCTTAACATCTAGTTTATTGAGAGAGAACTGTCTCGAACGTTTAACATTGGAAAATCTTGAATGACATGAAATCTACTGCTAGAATTCTCAGATTATGACATGACTACAGAGAGTTGACATTATGAACCTCCAAGAGAACATTGCATAAAGGAAAACATCTCCCCAGAAGTAACAGACCATTCAACAGCAAACATATATATGATGTTGTTTTAGTCATAGATACACAATCTAGAACATTAGAAAAATAATCTCATAGTCATAGATACACAATAAAAACATAATATTAATAAACTCACTATTTGAAGCTTAATGGTCTTCCCGTCTTGCTCAACAGTGCGAATTTTCTAGATAAGAAAAGAGATATCTTTGTAAGATGATTTAGTCGAAACATTACATTCTCTGTATAGAAGATAAAGCTCACTTACAAAGTCAACTCCAATAGTGCTAATGTAACTTTCCAGGTAAGAATCATCCTACAAAAGTAAATAAAAGAGGTCATGCCATAAATTCTGCAAATATGAAAGTCTTGTGCAGTCCAGATCTACCACCTTTGCTTGTATTACACCTCAACACAAATATGCCAACGTTAATACTACAATGTTGTAACATTTCTCGAAGGGCACCTCAACTGTAGATGTTTGGTCCTAGTGTTTGATGCCAGAGCAATATTTTAAATAAAAGCTTTTTTTGTTTAGAAACTACTTAACGAAGATATACTAAGTTAGCAGCCAGTAATCATAAAATTAAAAATGAAAAATAGTGGTGCTTCAATTTGTAAGCATATTATCAAGAAAAGAATATATGGAAAGATATACATCTACAAGGTTTTTATCCTACTTCAGATCAATCAGATCCGTATATCATTCAAGTTGGGAAGACTTGTTGCCATGAAATCAAAACTCCACAGAACTCCCACATACAACTAAAGATTTCATGGTTAATAAATGACAGAATAAAACAGATACTAAATGAGGTTTGGATCCTATGTTACATATAAAGAGCCGTCTTTTGGCCAACATCTTCATGGATATCACTTTGTAACCATGTTTTCAAATAAGAAGGCAACCACCTAATTACAATCGCAGAAAATGTGGTTCAAAAATCATGTAACTGAACTATGAGATCCAGATTTGTTAATGTTTCTAAAATACAAAGACATTATCAAGCAAAAGACATTTTGCTCCTTACTGCAAATCTTAGGAGGAGGCATGATTTCCCAACACCCGAATCTCCAATGAGCAAAAGTTTGAATAAATAGTCACTGCAAAGAAACATCCCTTCAAGTTAGTTCCATACCAAAAATCACCAAGAATCCCAGACCAATTTACACATTATGACCTATATTAACTAAATCGCATACAATTCATCTGCAATTAAAATTCTATTTTGCAAATCAACTACTACAAGTACTGTCCAGAAGGGAGCAAACGACCAAACAATTGCCAAAATGTCAAGGAAAAAACTTCACCAGGCCACCATGTCAAGGAAAGCAATATCAAGGAATTGTCAATAAGACAAATGCCTCAGCTGTCAAGTTCTTCACAAGGAATACAATTACTGCGACAGAAAGGGAATGCCCATCGATTTATACATAAAATATCAAGAAATTCTACTGGATTTGTCTCTGTAAAGCAAAAACAGAGCAACTCCCTCAACCACCTGTCGCACAAAAGGGGCACCAAACGATCATTTCCCATGGATGACCCAGATCCACTTTGCCACAACCATCAAATGGGTCCATTACTTGATTACGCTTATCAATATATAACTCGGGCACATGAAATCAACCAGCGCCAAGCATGGAGGAATAGACTATGATCTAGACCTATCAGAATCACCGGATCTCAAACCACACCACCAGATCCGACGAATACAGCCGGTCAACATCGCCGATCTAAAGCACGAATGCGAATTCGTGATCGACAACCATGCCGATAAAACCCGACCTACACAGCCGAGAGAGAATTTTCCGATCCATCAGAAACCCCGACACCTGACTCCGCACGAATCAAACTCACAGACCCTAAGCGCCGGTTCCGTGACCGAATGGAGGATAAGTTTGAGATTCAAATGAAAGCAATTCAACTACCGGCATCAACGCAAATACTAGCCTCAAGGTCGGGGTACTTACTACTCCGGGTTCATGGCGAAGACTGGAGCCGGTGGCTGAGGTCGTCCAGGTGTGATTCACCGTGAGGCTTCGCGCGAGATCGGTGGAGGGTCTGAGATCGAAGATGACGGATCCCTGCTCCTCCCCTTTGGAATCGAGAGAGGAGAATAAACGGGAGAAAGCCGAGCTGCGAGGCGTGAACACATAGGGGGCGTGATGAGGACAGCGCGAAGAAGGTGCGATGGACGGCTGAGATCGTCTTTGGTTCATCGTGTACCAATAAGCCGCGCCCACGTGGAGGATCAGCAAGACCGGGCGCGTTTCGATCCTGGATCTTAGATCTGTACCGTCCATCGATCCTCTTCCTTCGATCCAGTCGTCCATCCGCTATAATGAATCTCATCGTCCTACATGGCACTCAATTTCACATGTGGCTCTTAACTTCACGTGTCAATATTTATTATCTGGCTTATTTTCTCACGTCACACCCAAAGTTACTTCGTTCTAAGGTCAAAACCGGACAAATTGTTTGATCAGATCAGCTTGTAGCTGGCTAATTAAAGATTAGTATATGTAGTTAGATACTTTAGTATCTCAATTTTGTCCCAAAAAAATTATATTTAATTTTTTATGATTATAAATGTAAAATATTAAATTTTATTTATCCTAACATTATTTATTTTATCAATAAAATTATAAAAAATAATGGATAAAAAAATATAATTTTAATATTTTAATTATATTTTCGATGATGATCGATAACAATGACGAGAGATAAGATAAAGAGAGGGGAGAAAGACGACAATGAAGATGTCAATGCTTTGCATTTGCGTCGGTGCTGATATACTATACACATGCATCGGTGCTGATGCAATTATCGAGCGGTGTCGATATAGACGTAAAGCTACGTAATGGTTGCTTGATATATGTATTGATGTCGATGCAATTACCAAGCGATCCTTTCGTTGCTCTATATCTATATTGTCATCTTCATCAGCTATCATCACCAAAAATATAACTAAAATATTAAAAAAAAATTATCATAAAAAGTCGATAAAATTATTGATAAATGAAATCAGATATTTTACCTTTATAATTATAAAATTTTTAATATAAATTTTATTAATGTAAATAGGTCATGTAATTAACCCGATTATAACAATACGCTGTCAAAAATTGCCATTCCATTCGATGGGTAAGCATAAGTCTATCAAGTAGAACCTATTCGATGCATTTACATGACTTTGTCGTTGGCCACTCGACTCTCTCTCTCTCTCGCGCTCTCTCTGTTTCTCTATTATTCTTTTCTTGCGGCTCGCGCGCGGCATCAATTCCTCGTCTACGGTGATCTTTTCTTTTGCCATCTGCACTACCAATGGAGACCACGCGCTGTCGTTAGAGAATCCCTCCTCCCTCAAGGTTGCTCAGGTCTTTACGGGTGTCGGCATCGGCGCTGGCCGACCCATATATGTAGGTGATTCCTCCCCTTCCATAACCCCCGCCTCCCACCGTCGCTGCACCTGTGTCGTTTTCGTGATGGATCTGAGAAGGTTCTTGGAAGCCAGGAACGGACAGCGTTCGATTCAATCTCGTAGGGTTTGATTTGTTGATCTTTTGTTGTCTGTGAACTTTCTTGGGAAAGTTTACGAACGTGTTGCGTGCATATGGATTGCATGATTTCCGAGTGTCAGATTGTTATGCAGCAGTGTGGGATTACCGGTTCTTAATTTTTACCGGTTGTTTCGTGGTTTTTTGTGAAATTCTACTTTGTTTCAGTGGAGGAAATGTTGTTCTTTGTATTGATATTGATAAGTTAGTTCAAGGATTTCATTAAGCTATATGTGTGTTTGCATGAATGTATGGTTGATGTAAGTAAGCATTTTCATTTCTCTCTATGGTATTGGTAATAAGTTTGAAAAAGCTAATCTACAGTGCTTTTTTTTTTTCTTTTCTGAAAATGAGAGAAATTCTCAAGTATGAACAATGTGGTTTTGCATCTCTTCTTCTCTGTCTTCTACATATATTTTTCTTTTCAAAATTACTGCTACTATCAAAATTACAAGTCGTATAAACTATTGATTTGTTTTGCCTTGTGTAATATTTATATAACATCTGAATTCCTCTTTTATTTTGGTGCTTATTTGTATTCGTCATTCTTTTAAGTGTCAAATTTCTGACTTCTTTTGATCCTCCGGCTGAAACCTGTGGGATGTTAATTCGAAAATATGGTTAGCCTCATATATAGACAAATATGGAATGCAATACATGGACTTTTGACAGTTCAGTAGGGCTGCTTGTGTGGAATTAATTTGACAGAGTCTTATGCACACATGGGGCAGATGCTGAATTCATATGTAAAAGTCCATTATATATGTTCCTTGGAAGAAATGGCATACTAAATTGACCAAGGAATTCTTGTTTTTGTACTTTTGGTGTTCATGACTAGTTGCTGTTATGTCGATATTTATTGAAACAAACAGATAAACCTTTGTAATGCAGGTGTGATACCAGCAGTTCAGAAAGTCCTGACTGCTGCTAGAGGTGCAACTGATGCTTTTTCTGGAGTTGGGAGGCATGTCAACTGTTCTGTAAGAGCAGATTGTTATTGGAAACTGTTAAGATATCTTGTATAAGGAACTCTATTCATTCTCGTTATCGTTTGTTTTCTCAATTAGCTAAAGAAGTTGGGCTTTAAGAACATTGAAGTTGGTTTCAGATGCGGGGTTGGTTTAGGCCACGGTTTTGGTGTAGGTATGGATTTCTGAGCAATCAATAGCTTATGAGATGCTTTAAACCTTATTCTTATCTTTCTTCTATGACACGATGCAGTTTTTATCAAAGTTGCATATATAATAATATGACTTTTTTTTTCAGACCTTAACCATATGCTTTTATCTCCGTTCAGGGTTTGCTTGTTTTTAACATATTTATTGTATTTTTCTGCTCTACTGACATCCACTTGAGATTTGATTGATGAACTTTTTTTTTCCAGCTTCTTAACAGACAAGGCTATTTCGATTGATCTCAATGGATAAACTTTTTTTGTGTTGAAGTATTTAATGAATTTGTGACTTAGTAATTTTTTTCATCCTTTTATGACCAAAATAGCATACTGGCTATTTTTTTCTCTTAAATCTTAGCTATGGTAATTGTCATATGTTCTTATGACGTTTGTTGTAAGGTGGATTTTCCTTGGATTTCACAAGACGGTTGCATGTAATTTTTTGCTCTTCCCAGTTTAGAATGATGAGACAAAGTTCTTTAGAGTCAATGGTTCGAAGTGCAACCACTATATGTTGACACTTTGAACAGAAGAAAAACCAGCTACACTTCCTATATTCATCATGATCTTCTCCATCCCAGGTCCTGGTCAGAGCAGCACCAAGGTGCTAAGTGGAACTCCTGTTGAAAATGCACAACTCTCAAGTGAGAATGTCGTGGATTTGAAATCTGGAAGTACTGGCAGTAGCTATGGATATTCGATGAATGATGAAAGACCTGCTGAAGAAGCTAGGCATAGTCCTAATGCATCAAAAGAGACACCATTAGAGAAGTCAGTTGCAAGTCGTACTGAAAAAGTTATCAACAGTTTCTTGCAGGATCCACTTTTCAAGGATACTGAGGTCAAACTTGTTGAAGTGGTATATGACATATTTTAAATACTGCATTCAACCTAAACTACTAAGTTTGTAGTTGATTTATTGTTGATAACTCTACTTGCTTACTTCTATTCTCTAAATATATTTGAAATAGTAGAAAAATGACTTAACGTATCACACATAATGTCATATTCTTGTTTGGTCCATCAATGAAGATCAAGAAGCAACTTTCTTTCTCTCTTTTTCACCTTCCATGCTTAGCTTGTCTTCAAATATTTCTAGCAGAATTACTCCAGCAAAAAATTTACAATTTATGCCTAGTGTTACATATCCATTTATCTCAACATAGAACAAGAAATAGTAAAAGACATTATATTGTTAATATCTGATAGTAAGAAAGATTATAATGCACATATATCATCTATATGTCTGTTGAATGCATCATGATAATCATCAAAATGAAACATTATCCAACAACTTAATGACAAATACCTCTTTAATTCTTATTGGCCATGGACTTCACTAATAAGAACTGGTTTTCTATTTGATAACTTTACCATCCATATTGGTTAACTAAAATGAAGATTGTGAAACAAATTCAAATGGGGGAGGCATTTAATTCTTTCATATATTAAATAGACAGATAAACTTTAAAAGGATTGACAAAATGTAGTATACTATCCCTCCCAAATACTTGGGTGAAAATCAGGAGTGACAGAACCTTTCTTTCTTGTCTGGTTTGTCCAATTATATTTAGATGCCAAGCGTGCTACACGTCATGACCTTGTTTCTTATATTTCTTTCTTCTAATGGTTAATCTCTCCAAATTTTCCTACTGCCCTTGAATTATTAGAATCTTTTTTTTATGTTTTATTATTTTTTATCCAGAATTCTTATGAGTCTAATTTATTTTAGAAGTTTTATGACCTCTATGATACCATAAAGGAGAATAAGTTCAGACCAAATCAGTAAAGCGGATATGCCATTGCTTATATTGATGTTGGATATGGATTAGTTAGTTCCAATCAGATGCTTGGTTCTCTGTGTTCTCCAATTACCACCTCATCGTGCTATCAATTAGAAATTGGTCAGAATTTACAGAGTTTCAGAATGTATCTAACATTTCCTCTGTCACATCCACTTGGCCATTTTCTGGTTGATAAGTTGAATTACCTGTGGAAATAAATAAGATGATGCTATCCTGTAGTTCTTCTTTTTTTTTTTCTTTTTCTGATTTGTGTTGTTTTACAGGCTGGAAACTTGCTCACAGAGAACGATATACTTCAAATGGTAAGTCATTCTTTTTACATAATATCAGTCGCCTCAGAACCTGATATATGCAGCTGGTTGTTTGACACTTCATGTAATCACAAGGACTTTGCTTTACCTTTCTTTTAATGTTTGTTTTGTTTATGTTTTACATTCGATTTCAACAATCTAATGGATATAACTTAGGTGAACATGTCTAATAAGGTAGCATTATTAGATAGTGTTATTCATTCTAATCGACTCGAAAGGTTTAGCTTTTCAACATGAACTTTGTTGAAAGTATGCCTATAAGGTAGCATGCTTAGATGTGCTATTCATTCTAATTAAATTCAAACGTTTAGCTTTTCAACAAGAACCTTGTTGGAAGGATGCCTGATAAGCATAATTAGATGTGTAATTCATTCTAATCGAATTAAAAGGTTTAGTTTTTCGAGAAGAAGTTTGCTGAAAGTATGCCTGATAAGGTAGCATGATTAATGTAGTATTCATTCTAATCGAACTCAAAGGTTTAACTCTTCAAGGAGAACCTCGTTGAAAAGATACTTCTTTCCATTAATTTCACCAAGAAAAGCAAGTTTCTTTCAATACAAACATGTGGTTGTATTTGCAACTCAATCTGTGTATATTTATGTGATCAGCTGCTGAAGCATCAGCTAGCGATCGAAGAATTGATCGACGAGAATCTGAAGCTGCGACAAGTACTCGTAGAGGATTTTAAGGTTTCACCTTGCAGGCTTCAAACAAAGGATGTCAGTAGAACAGAAGTCTATTACCCATGTTCTGACTGTTTCAAATGCCGTAGAAGAAGAAGAAAGGCAGCAAGATAGCATTTAAATCTTAATATGCACCCCATGCCCACTCCAGCATCATTATCTCACCGGGTTTGGTAGCTCATATCTCACATATTATTACCATCAGCTAGGAAGATACAAAGGAATTGCCCAGATTCTTTATGTTTTGAGCTTCTTATTTAACTTTTGAAGCTTTGATAAGAGTGTTTTCTTCTGTCATAAAATTGTTTCTTGCAACCATATTCCATTTTTTTTTTTTCATTTAGGCTCATGAACAAATCAATTGGTCGAATTGGAAAAATCGGAAACCGGACTCTCTAACGGTCCAATTCACTAATTGAATCATTTTGAGCCCTCGAAATGATTGAAACATCTTTACTTTTTATTTGATCTCAACGATATTTATTTTTTTAAAAAGATATTTAAGTCTTTTTATTGTAAGAACAAAAGAACAAAATTTATTATATTCATTATTCTTTCATTGTCTCAATGTATTTGCTTCGTCTTTTATCATCTTCTTTCACTATATTATTTAAAAATTATTTTTTACAATATTGTTGATATGATTTACATTTTTAACTTAATATATATGTATATATTTCACTTCTTTAAGAAAAAAAATTTAAATCTACAGCCTGATCAGTTAATCCATCGGTTGAATCAATGATTGGGTGACCCAAGGTTTACTCCGATCAATAGTCTTGTCCTTTGCCCTTTCTTCTCACCTTTGCATTGTTGTAATCGAGAGCAATCATAGTCAAGACAAATTTATGTAAGCATTGTGGCAAAGGCCAATAAATTATGGTTGTAGTATACTGTAGCATGTAAGATTGAACTTTCTTATGGGAGAACTTTTTCTCACTAGTTTGGGAATGTTGATGTGGTTCAGCTAATATATTTCTTATATTGTTTGGTTGTATATAGTCTATGCTACTGAAAATTTCCTGTAACATGAAGTTATTTTTCCCAGTATTCTTGATCAGTCATTTATATATGTTCCCACAGATGGTATATGCATCCAGTTGCATTTATAACCTTCTCCTATTTTATGGCATCCTCATCGACTAACATGTGAAAGGGGGAAGGTTGCCTCATATTTATACCTGCAAACTTTTGGAGATCTTAGAACTATTGCTTGGGAGTCCTTTACAGTGGAGCCAAGCCAACTGAGAAAGGGAAGTGAAGCTTTCTTATGGTCCATGCAAGCTACCTAAGCTGCTTTTTTCTCAAACAGTAGTCGGCAGAGAGAGAGAGAGAGAGAGATTTGGGGTGCTCCAAAATGAAGCCTTATCCTCTCTGCATCAATTGTTTCCCCCGTGCTGTAATTTCTTTTCCTTTTTGGTTGGTGTGGGATGCTATCCTCATCTCGCTGGTCCCACCACCCATCTTATTTGGATTCTCCTGTTGGAAATATTTTATAAAAAAATTAAAAATCCTTTAGGATTAATTATTATATTAACCACCCTCGTTAAAAGGAGATGTGCATTGCACTATACATTTTTAATTTTTAGGGTATTTTTTAAGCTCTACAATTAGAGTTCTAAATAATCACCATTATTTTCAACAAAAAAATTTCCTCCTCTTTTTATTTTTTCTGATTATGTTCTTAATTTGTTTTAATTATTTGATCTGTTAAAAGAGATTAAGTCGATCAGGTTTCATCTTACCACAAAGTCTTTTACTTCTTTCTTAAGCTTTATACTTTTAATTTTTTATTATCCCAACATTTCATATTCTTCATCCTCAAATTACTCTATTTCATTACAAGTACAATTAACCGGTAGCATCGGATCCTCCGAAACCAATAATTAAATGCCCTCCAAGCATGTGTGTTCTCGCCAACTTATGTCGGAAATTAATTACTCCGGAAATATCAAGGTGGACATTTTGAGTCAGATGAGTCTGACGTAATAATCTTAGTAAATCAAGTATAAAAATACAGCAGAAAAGCCTACAAAAATCAAATGAACGTCCATGATATACTTGATGGAATGATCATCAGCGGTTCTGATATATATTATTTTTGAGGCTCACTTTATAACGGAGGTCCCCACGCCACGGGTCCTCTCAAAACCTTCTCTTTTACGTGGCGCGTGTTGCCACCACACTTTCGAGAGAAGTGGTCGCACAGAATGACACCTAAAGACGGAACAAACTGAGGTCGATGTGCGGCCCATCGGGCCCCCCGATGAATCCGGTGGAACTGATAGAAGTCGCCCGGCGGGACCCGCCGCGTCCCCATTTAGCCGACACAAAATTGACTCGGAATCAAAGTAGTGTGTGTGTGTGGTGGCATCCGATTCGGCACTCATTTACTTTGGAGGCAACAGAAGAAAACAGAAGAAGCCAACGGAGAAATAAAATCCTAAAGTATACTGTACTTTGGCTTCGCAAATGTCAGACGCCCGTTTCCAATTCCACACGTTAATACATTCTTAATGGTTTATTTTCTCAGGCCGCTTGGAATTAAATAGGGGATTCGCCAACTCGAGCTGCGTGCGAGCGGGGGAGTCAGAGAAGGCGAGCGAGGGAGCGTCGGCGGAAGGGAGAGCGAGGCAAAGAAGGCTGCACCTGCGAGAGAGCGAGAGGCCGCAAGGGTTGAAGGGGAAGAGAGCTCCGACGCTCTCCACTCTTCTCTCCTCTCCTGTTCTCGCCGGCGATCTCACAGGCGCTACGCCTCTTCTCTTCCTTTTGATTTCTCCTCGCCGGATGCGGTGTCCTTGCCGCGCTGGGGAATTTGAATCGCCGTCTTTAGAGCGGGTTTGTGCCCCTTTTTTGTTTCTTCCCACCTGCGCTTCCTTTTAATCGTGTTCGGCGTACTTGTGCGGGAGGAACCCTAGTTTTATGTTGCCGTGTGGTTCTCGAAAGAGCTTACGGGGAGAATTGAGGGCTGGGTGGAGGTTCGGGTTGAGATGAGGCGTTGTTTGGTGGGTTAGGGGAAGTGGCCGAGAGGGGAGATGGATGAGAATGGCGGGTCATTTGTGGAGGTCAGAAGAATATCTCAGGGGCCGGATCGAGGAAGCGTCTACCATTCGACACCGGGTATGTGGCAAACCGCTTCTCTTACCTCCCTCTCTGTCTCTGTTCGGGAAAATATTGAAGTTGATGGTCTTGGGGTAGCCTGCTACCGGTGGTCGGACGCACTCAGCAAATAGTTTCTGAAGCATCTTTGTTGATGCTTGGACTTCTGAATACCGATGTATTTTTGAGTCTTTGATTGCAAGTTTAGGGTGCTCAATTTTCTCTGCTCATCTTTCGGAATTTGATCATCTTTTGGTATTGTTTATTCTTTTATATTGCCGGTAAAGTCTTGCATTGGCATAATCTTTGGGTAACTGATTTTCCATGATCGATATGGATTTCATGAGAAGCTTCTTCCACCGCACATAGTTGTTCTGAATGCTTGTTTTTGTTATGCAGTTTTGCAGAAGATCGAGCAAAGGTAGAGACATTAATTTTGTTGAGTGATTTGAAAATTTATTAAAAGAAAAGCATGAAAAGATGGATGAAGCACCCACAGTAGATGAAGATTTAATAGAGGAGCGAGATAATGAACTTTGCTGAGTGCTTTAAATAGAAAAGAAGAGGAGAAAGTGTTGGGAACTTGCTGGGCTAGCTTCCCTAGTGATGGTATGAGGTCACCTCAGAAGTGATAGAACCCATATTATGAGAATTTCATGTAAAAAAGAAAAGCATTGATCTAAATGGTATTAATTAATTGGTGAGTCAAATCCTATGATCAAGCACCAAATGGTGTTATTTTTTAGCCAATACAAAACAGAGGATTGGAGAATGGCTATTACAAATATGATGATATCCAGGTGAGATCAGTGAGTTTTTGCAAGCTCCTATGAAGAATTTTAATATTGGTCGATCTATTGCCAATTGTTGCATTATGTCATAAAATGCAAATATGCACTTGGCTACTGAGAAACCAACATCCTGCCACAAAAAATGATAAGTTTAGAAGCAAAAAGTCCAAGAGCAAGATGTTCTTTAACTTCTTTACATTATTTTTCAAAATCTAGGATCAGAGTCTTTATTTAAATCATATAATCAAACTTAGCTACAGGGTGGGCCTTGGTACAATGGTAAGTTGTTCCTTTGTGATCTAGGGTTCGAGCCACGAAAATAATCTCTCTATATTTAGAGGGAAGGCCCTCCCTAGATCCTGCATTTGTGGAAGCCTCATGCACTGGGTGGTATAACCTTTTTAATCAAACTTAACTGAGTTCTGTTATGGCTTTTTCTTTTGGGTT